ATATAGGGACTTTTAAGGAAGTCAAGGAGAACGTTGATGGGCAGAATGAAGGTGACCGATCGTTCAGAGCAGAGAAAAAAGATGAAAGGTATGAAGCCTTTGATTACGGCAGTTTCCAGGTTCGCCTGCCATTTGTTGATGATGAAAACCGCATGAATCTGACGCCAGATGTCGCTTCACTCCTGTGCTAGACTATCTAGTAGATGCTACGGCCCTTTTAACGATATGTAGCTTTAACATATAGATGCAATTAAGATGACGTAATGCCACCTAAACGAAAAAAACAATTATCTAGTATTAATGTCAGTCTCAACGTTTTCTGAACTCGTTTGAGCAAGCTTTTCCTGGGAAGAGTTTTTCTTTTTAGCTTCGTCTGCCATTTTCGTTTAGCTTAATCCGCGTGTTGGAATTTGAAATTAAACCCGCATAAATTCAAGTTTAAGCCAACGCGTCGTTGGCGGGAGGATCGTTTAAACAAAAGGGCAGACTATAGTTACATCGTTGTGTTTTCCATTTATTCCAGAATGAGTGGCATCGGTTTTTGTCAGCGTAATAGAAATACGCCGCTATATTATACTATTGTTATCGGTTTTCTCATACAAACATTGAGAAACATCGTTACAACGGCGCCTTCTTCAGATCATGTCATTGATCAAGTCTAATCCGACCCATCACACAGCCGTGAAGAAGTAAAACCTAGTAAAAACAATAATAACACAAATGCCTTCAGAACATGCATCGTAATAATAATTATAGTTCCATTCTTTCCTTCATATCTCTTTTTTCCTTTTCCTCACTAAACTGTACACAGCCAGACAAATCCCCATTACGGAGAATCGCTCACCCACCGAAACGCCGGGGGTTCCAGCTATCTGCTAGATGATAACATTTAGCTCATCCCGACCCTCGCCTTTCCATTTAGCGGCGCATGCCACTAACGGCAGCTCGAAGCAATAAAGTAACTCTACGCAATCCAGTCAATGACCCGTTGATCAAACAGTCCACTATGTATTGCCGTCCTACTGCTACCTAGAACGGCGAACTACGGTCATATCTAAAAAGTAAAATCAACAAAAACCAACATTTTGATGAAGGATAGGGGAGCTAATTTGCGATGAACTATTCATTTTGCATTTTGCGTGGCTTGCGTCGTTCACATCACTAACGCTATCAGTACCGTCAACCACTAGACCACGACGACCCATAGAGTATCCACGATGCTACAAAACTACCCCGACTGTCTCGTCTATCAGGTGTCCCTCGCACGTTGATTGGCCGGTTTCTTTGCTTTGCCCATTGGTCCAAGGTGGATGGATCGCGTGCATAGTGCCTATCTGCAAGCCGGCACCTGAAAATCGTCGGCATTCACTCACCCACGAACATGCAGCCCACGAATGTAACGTTATTTCACTCCAAAATCCAAAAAGAAAGTGCCATGGCTTTCTACAATCGATGGTCGCCATGTTGACTTCTCGCTGCGCGTCGTAGGCCACCAAAGTGCGCAAAAACCACGAACGTCTCACGCGCAGAGAGTCACTCCCGATACAGCATCTGAACGGCCACAGCAGATGACTTCTACGTACATGTGACTACTGACATAGTACTAATTCAAGGATGAAAAAGCGCTGGGCAGCACACGTTTGTTGACGTAGCCACGGACATGGGTAATACGTGCTCTAATCTGTTATATGTACACGATGTACTTCTCTGCGAGCGGCAAGCGTCGTTCCATTTACTTTCACCGATAGCGTTAAAACAATAACCCTCACCGCAACTACCAAAACCATCACAGTACGGTAGCGGCAAAGGGCTTCGAATATATAGTAACTGTGTACGAACGAACGGCAACTGTGTGGGTACCATGGTGACACTAAATATATGTACAACTGAACATAGGTAAATAAACGACTAATTAGCGCATCGGGGAGAGAAGCACAAAAATTATGATACAATTACTGTTGTCGTTGCTACGAAGCGAGGTGCAATACTTACTGAAATAACAGCTGGATGCAAGGCTCAAAATGTTTTTGGTTCGAGTCCGTCATTGCGCACGTGTGAAGTACGAAAGCACTAACAAAAACCATCGCTAACTGTGCACGGTAATAATGCATTCTAATTGAGGACTATTAAGGAGGCGGATTTCATGGGCGTGCACGCTTTTCGGCGTACAAAACAAGCCAGCTCTTCCTACCTCGTCAACACGAACAGCAGTGCATCGTTCTCAAGATGTGGAGGAAGGTCAACTAATATCCAACCTGTTTTTTTTTTCTAGTGGGCGGTCTCGCATCAAAAATACGGAGAAAATTTTAGTTTTTTTTTTTTCTCTCGGTATCGAAGGTCCACGTTACTTTTAATTTTCATGTGACCTATAAAAATTTGCGGAGGTATAGCGCAAGTTGAGATTAAGGGCTTAAAAATGTGTTAGAACGTCTTGGCGCAGCTGGCTTTTGCTGCATAAACTTATAGCCGTTTTAGAGAAGCGAATACCAACTGCCAATTGAATCGTCCAGATAAGTTGCGACAGTTCACAGCTCTTGGAACTTTGTCGTCGTTACGAGCTGTTAAATTTTCGTGATTTTTTTTTATCTTAAGATATCTACCTATCAATATCGATTAGTGCACGGTCTTCATTACAAGCTTATTTGCGGATTAATAAAAAGCTGTATTGAAAATGACAAGCTGGTAATTCAGGTCCAGAATTGAAGTTAAAACTATGATCATGGTTGTTGCATTGAATACCATTAGAAATGCTTTTGTTTAGATATAGTCGATCTATAATATATCCACTAACAGGGCTAGTTGATTCGTAGGAACAGCCCGAGTGTGTATTATCCGGGTAATGCAGCGGTCAATGCTATCGCAAGTTCCACAAATTCGATGGAGCGATCGACGGAACGACGTGTTTTTTTTGCTCCTGTGAAGCCTCCTTCGATTAAACCGATCTAAATAACAATTTTATATTATGTCCAGTGAAGTCGTTACCGCTTTGAGTAACCTGATTTACTCAGATGTTACGAGGCAGGTGCATGCGTACGGAGCGGTCTTGACAAACCTATGAATACCAGCTTTGCCCTTTAATGTAGAATAGACAGTACTGCCTTTAAGATATTCTAGCTACTTCGATGTTGTCCGAATATTTGCCAAACGCGCCGTGCGATCGCGCAAAGAATGGTAGCGTGTTCCCACCCTAAACTTGAGAACGCGTCAGGTGTTCTATGTTCGAGACCCGCCGTAAAGAAACGGTTCTGTTGTGGGAACCAGCCGTTTGAAGTGGTGCATATCTGTCTTTCTTGATTTTAGTCACGTCGTTTACGTACCAAAGACCTCATAAACCACATTCAGTCACAGAACGCAGCAGGACTGAAGCTCCTTCCTGCCAGACGAAGAGAGTCTGTCAAAGGGTACGTTTGCAACATACCATAGCGATATGCTTATCTTCTCTGTATAGTGGCCGCATGAAAACAACGAGACGTACATTATCGAAGTGTACAATGGACCTTTTACTGCTGCTGCTGCTGCTGCTCTACTTCTATCTTGTAATAAAGGAAGACCAGGTAAATAGACGGCACTGCAATCTCTACAGGGCAGCTCTCGATGAAGCGATGATTAGGCAGAAGTACACGTCGCCATCGACATACGACTCCTTATGTTTTCGTTATAGTTACAGAGAGGACTCATCTTTTGCTACAAAGCAACTAAGCACAACCGACCACATTTCAAACGCTACATACAGACTCTTCTCATTGCACGATACAACCACTGCGGTCTATTGGTACCGCTGTAAAAAGACCGGGTCGCCACCTTCTCGACCTCCGGCCAGTTACGAATCTACGGGTCCAGCAATAGCGATGCAGTAGTACCCGGTGTTCCTTTTGCATCGCGCATGACAACAGACAAGTTTATGCTCGGAAAAAGCCAGTTAACGACAAACAGGAGAATCGCTGCGGTGGTCACATTATTGTACCCACAGCCATAGCACGGATCGGGCGTGCATATCTTCCTGACGCGCGTACCCTTTGTTATTTGCTCTTACGCGATCACGAGACGGTCAACACTCGATTCTCGTCGCAGTCCCTGGCGTCTCCGTGAGATTTGAGAGAAACAACCAAACTTATTCTGCAATAGTCTCAAGTTTCAGCCGCGCGCGGTCGCTCTTTTCCGCACTCTGGCGTTTACATGAACAACAAAGCGTTTCACAAACAAATCGCTAACGGACGTTGTTTTGCCGCCAATAACAGCAGCAGCCATAGAATGGGAACAACACAAGCGTGACGACGACGACGACGACTCCAACGACAACGTCTACTACCGCCTGGGACCTGCCATATACGCTGATGC